GATGTTGCTGATTAAAAAAGCCTGCTTTGATTCTAAGTGCCTTGTATAGTGAGTTTTCCAATTAAATGTCAGAATCATAATGTACCATAGGCATTGTAATTGTAGTTACAGATGTTTCTGACTTTCAAAAAAGATTTCCTTATGTCTTGTAATATTGCATATTCAGTTTGAAAAACAAACCCTTTTTTTTTTTTTTTTGTGCATGGGGGGCAGAAATGTCCTTCAGTTTCAGCTTAAGACTTTTTTGTTTGTTTGTTTTGCATTGAGGTCAAAACCTTTCAAGATTTCTTTTATTTTTATTTTATTTTAGGAGAAAAATGCAGAATTAAAAAGGCAAGGCATCATAAGTCAGTAGTAATGGCCGGAAATTTTAATGGTATTTTCTAGCCTGAAGATAAAGTTAAAAGCCAAAAACGAGGTTTCTCTTCAGTGGTTACCTCTGCTTTTTGAAGAGCCCAATTATCTAGCCTGACCAATGAGCACATGAATAGCTTTGAGAAAGCTGCTGAAGCTTTGGCTGCCACATCGAAATACACTTATGAACATATTCCTACTTCTTGTGGTTTTATGGTTTTCAGCAATAAGCCTTTAGAATTCAGTTATATTTTTGCAAATTAGACAAAAAAATTAGCAAAATACTTTTCTTTCTTAATGTCAGAAAGATATAAAAATCAGAATGTAATCTGATGTGGTGTGGCAGTATAAAACCAGTCTTCCAGAAAATTGATTCCAGCAAGCAGTAGTCCTGGGAAGAGGTTCTACCCACCCCTCCATTCTCCAGCTGATGTCAAAGCTTTTTCAAGACTTAAATGGAGAAATTATCAAACACAGTGCTTTTTTCCTTTTTCACTTCTTCCACTTGTTTCTCTCCTTAAAATGAAACTAAATGCATCACTGGAAAAAAAATATTAAGAAAAGCAAAAGTAAATAATATTTGGTGTCCCTGTTGTACACATCAGAAATTTTAATGGAAACTCAGAAAAACCTTTTCCTTTTCCATTTTTGGTCAAGAGATTGGTGAATACATTAGAAGTCCTGAAAAGCAGCAGTCTGGCTGTAGGCCACAGGACTTTTCTGAATGAAAAAAAAGAACAAAAAATAGTTAAAAGAAGAAATAAGCATTATCTGAAATGCAAATGCCAGCACACAAGATGACTTCACACCTGAATCATCCTGACAGACATCCTCTGTCTGTGAAATCCAGAAACAGGATGTGACACATGCCTGGCATGCATTAAAGTAACTCAGAAACATCACTGTGGCCAGAGCTTGATGTTCCTAACATGAAAGATGGGTCATAGAGGCATCATTATTGAGAATCAGGTACCTTCTTCCACCTTGGTGGGAAAGCCTCCATTTAAATCACATTTAGTCCATGGTCTGTGGGGGTTTTTTAGCTCTAAAGGAAGAGCTTGAGAGAGAACAACCGTCTCTTGAAAGGCTGCAGATGTATAGCCACCACAGATATAACTGCTTTAAGCTTAGGTTTTTCCTTTACTAAAGAGAAAATAAGGGCAAAGGTGTGTGAAGGAAGAGTTTACACATTCTTCCTTGAGTTCATTGTGTTTATAAAAGAAAAGCAGAGCTTTGTGGACTGTGAGTCTTGGAGATTCTGAGTACATTTGTTTTATATGCTGATCCAAATGCTTGCAGTTATGGTACATCTATGCATTTCAATTCCATCAGCATTCATAAAGCAGCTAGATATCATTCACAGGACTAAAAAACATTGCTGAGTGGAACCAGGACTGTTCTTGGACATAGCTCAGAGATGTTTTGAAAGGCTGAAGTACTGACATCTTCTTCACAGCTGAAAGGCACAGGTGGTTCACTACATATATATCTATATTTATATATATATATATATGCATGTACATTATGGGCAGACAGCTCAGGGGGAGTACATTTAGATGTGAGTATTAAAATGTCTGTTTCAATGTTAATGAAAGCTGTTTCCACATCCACTTGAAGATATATGAGAAATTATGTGAGGAAATCTGTGTGAGCAACTTATACCTCGTGTTTAAAACCATCTATAGAAGCTCTAATTATATTTGCAATCTTTACACTTCATATCATGCTTAGTGGGAGTATTAGACATTTGATTGACAAGGAAAATATTTGACAATGAGAAAATCAGAAATTTACACAGTTAAGTATGGCAGACCAGAACCTACATGCTTGATATTTTCTGTCTGATTTGACCTGAGTTTTGGTTGACCCACATTGACACATACTGAAAAAAATGAAACAATTGTAGCTAGACCTGAAGGAAGATCCCCTTACACATGCTAACAAATAAGAGTACCAGCATATATTCTAGAGAAGTCTGGTACCTTAGAAACAACATTGTGGCCAGTTTGATGTTCCTAACATGAAAGATGGGTTATAGAGATATCATTGTTGAGAATCAAGTACATTCTTCCACCTCGGTGGGAAAGTCTCCATTTAAATCACATTTAGTCCATGGTCTGTGGGGTTCTCTGAAAAGTCACTTCTTTAAAACTAATTTAATTTTTACTGTGCTGAACCTGTGTGCAACAGAATCAGAATAGGCATGAATGACACCATCTTTGCCTGAGTTTCCCTTTCTTCTTCTCCTGTAGTCAGTGTCTGTGGAAAACTCTGCCTTGCTCCCAATTTGAGGAGCAAGCACTCGTCTATGCTCCATAGCCACCAAATAGTGCTGAGGCTCAAAAATTGCCAGATGCTTGCCAAGGACAGTGACCTAGGTGGTGGCTGTTACCTGTGCCGGGGGTTTTCTTTGGTCTGCAGGCAGGAAGCAGAGAAGATGATAACCCAAGAGGAGGCAGGGCCCTTGCAGACAGCGTGTGCCCATGCTAACGTGGGCCTGCAAATGGAGTTCGGCTCACCTGGCATCTCCACGGGACTCTGCATCTCTGCAAAGTTTCTGCGACGCACAGTGGGGAGGACAGGGCGTGCTTTCCCTGTTATTTTGTGTTCTGAGGGTGCCTGTCCCTGCCCATGCACAGCAGGAGAGCTCCCGTGGGTCTCTTAGGGCAGCACCAGGCAGGGCAGGGCTGCAGCGCCCCGGCCGCCCCGCTGCTCCCGGCCTGTCCCGCAGGGACGCGGCGCTGCAGCGCTGGAAGGAGCTCGGCGGGGTAACGGGGAAAAGCTCGTCGGCCGAGCCTCCAGAGGCAGCTTCCTTGTGCTGGTAGGCAGGAGGCGCCATTACACAGCTTGTGAGGGGGAAGGAGCGAGCAGGCGAGCGGGGCCGGGGGCTCCCGTGGCTGCCAAGCCCCCGCCCGGGGCAGGACCGCCGGCAGCTCACACGCTCCGGTCACCACCTCCCGCTCCAAGGAGCAGCTGTTTCCGGCTCCTGGCCGCGGAGGAGCAGGAGGAGGCCACAGCCCGCAGCAGCGCAGCCTCGCCCGTGCCGGCCAGGTGCGCCCCCGGCCACGGCTCCCTCAGCCTCGGGCCCGCTCCGCCCGGCCGGAGCGTCCGCCGCGGCCCCTCGGCAAAGGATTCGAACAGATCAGCAGCCTGCTGATCATGAGAAACGCAGCTGAAAGCAGCGCGTGTGCTACCTAATGTGTGTTTTCAGTGTTTGGAGTCCTTTAGCGCAGGGGATAATTTTAGTATTAGCACAGGCGTTGCCCCCGGCAAAACGCAACCGAACGCGGCACAGCCGAGTTGCGGTGGGATTCCGTCCGCTGCGCTCCAGAGCTCGAGCTGCTCTTCTGCCTCCTGGAAAACATGTATATCTTTTCTAGTCTTTTCATTTCCCAGGTAAATTGTTTAAATGGAAAGTTCCCCTTCTCAAAATAACAACAACAGCAGCAAAAAAAACCCAAACAAGAACCGCTAACAAAAATAACAACGAAGCACACCACCACCACAACAAAACAAACAAACACGAGAACAAGGAAAAACTAAAACTAAAAATCTGCGGTGTTTTCATTAAAACATCAAAATCTTCTGGTTAGAAAAATTTGAAATATATGTTTGAAGGGTTCTTTTTTTAAAATTCACGTAGTAAGTCTCAGGGAGGGGAAAGGAAGGACAGACAGAAAAAGAAAAAAAGAGAAAAAATATGAGGAAGGAAAAAAAGGTTGAATGGAGAGGGAGAAAAAAAGGAGAAAGAAAAAAGATTAAAAAAAAAGAAGAGAAAAGAAACTGGTATTTTCTGCGAAACTTTGTTTAAAAAGAGAAGTAATGTTCAGCTGAAAATACTTCAACAGCAGCAATAAAAAAGTAACTTTAGCAAGTAGTTAAACCATGCAAATAAATTTACTCACCTGCATGGCATGATTTCCTTGTCTGAGCAAAGTTTATGAACTGCTCATGTGTCAGTAGGATGGATTCCTGGTAAAGAACTGATTTATTTCAGTGAGTAATCCTAACACAAATTGGGTATAAGATCAGAATAGGTGTCTGGCTTCAGTGATTCCTGATTTACATCATTAGCCAGCGGAACTGAACTCTGACATTTCTCCTTGAACATGCTTAGTATTAAATGAAACTGGCTTGTTAGACCTAATGTTGTTCGCTACTGCACGGAGATAATAGTAAACTCTGCCCTAACATGTATGTACATTAACCCTGATGATCCTAAAGGGAACCTGAACTTGTTCATGTATCAGAGGGCAGAATTTACCCCTGTACTTACAATAACTAGAAATTTCAATTATATGCCTGGCACATGATAAATTTAAATTGATTTCTGAATAAAAGCAAGCACTTTACTGGCCTTAGCACTCAGCCAAGTCAATTGGAAAGAATGTGTAAACTTTACCTTTTGCCTACTCCATCTGCCAGTGCCTTGAGAGTTCCCTTTGCATAAACTTTACTTGGGTATTTGTTATCTACTCTACAGGCATGCTGTGATCTTTATTTTCCTTTCAACCTCAGCCACCATCGAGCCTAATAAGAACTGGCATTATGTTGAGTTTTTCTAAAATGATATTGGGGTTGAGGCTTATGTTTAGGGATGACAGTAAAACCCAGCCAAAGCTATGTTCTGAAAAAGCTCAGGAAGGCACAACATGGATGAGAGGAGTTCAGGGCTGCAGGAGAAGAAATTCTTCGGCTGCCTGGTAGCAAAACTTGGTGTGAAGGACTCGAGGACTTGCAGGGGGTATGTTTTGCTCAGTGAAGTTTCTCCCTGGCCGGTGGCTCAGAGCTCCTCGAGGGTTTGGAGGCTGCGGGCTCTCCGCTGTCCCCCGGAGGGAGCTGCAGGCTGCCGCAAGCTCCGCTCGCCGGGCCGGGCACCGGGGGCGGGATGGGGATGGGGACGGTGCGGGTAAATCACCGCCGTGACCGAACAGCCCGCGGTGGGAAAACAGCAATCCCGAAACCGACCAGGAATTCAAGGCCTTTTTCCACCTACAGCTGAGAATGTGCTTGATAAGCAACACCTAAAACATGTTAGGAAGGAGACTGTTTGTTTGCTTGAGTGTGACTTTCTTGGCAGCAGGATTTCTCCCTAATTTATAACCATTATGTAAACTTCTGACTTCCAGATTCACACTGTGAAAATATTCAAGATGAACTAATCAGGGTGGAAATCTGAAATTGTTTCTGCATGGTTTATATCCCCCATCTGGCAGCAAAGAACAAACAGTACGACCCTGATGGTGTTTACATAAGTTACCTTGTTGGAGGAAATGATTGTACTTAGAAAATTGTCCTTGCTCAAGAAATGTAACAACTTGTTGGCCTAAACAGGGCTTTCTATCTTTTAAATCTCTTTTTTTTCCCCTTTTTTTATTGTATGTGTTTGAGGAGGGGGAAGTTACTAACTGTGAATTCGAGCTTTCACACCACAATCTGTCTTTTAACTACGAGAAGAATTTTGGTTAAATGTTCAAAAGTTACAGTTGGTCCCTTGGATTACACTCTACCGAGAGCAGTAGTGGGAAGCATTCTCAGAAATCCTGATTATTATTCTTATTACCTATTAAGAAATTCAGTGTGACTTTCCCTCTCTAAAAAACTTGGCTGTCAGCAGTTTCAAGTGGCTGTGTAAATGCAGCGTGCTTGGTCAAAAAGCATAAATGTGTTCTGTGATTTTCATTTTGCTGCACCCTTAAGTGGAGTTTCACTACAGCAAAGTTTATTATGGCCAGTTTTCATGGTATTTGATTGGATTTGCAGTTCTGTCACTCACCAGGGTTTTCTTTTAGAAAGAGTTAGAGAATAGAATATTCTCTCTCTATATTTGGAAAGAATATATATGGTATAGCTTGACAAACACTAATAATGATAATGAGACAAATTTGTCTTTGTGAGCTATGGAGTTTTCAGTAACTTTAGAAGAGAAATTTTGTTTCAGTCATTGCCTTGCAGTGTAGAATATTTTACATGTTTGTAGCAGAGTCTGAATATGCATCCAGAAGTGTTTCAGAAAAAACATAAATGCATAACATTGTACCGTGAGAATTCATTACCCTAAAAGGTAATTGTTTTCATTACAGAATGGTCATTTAAGTTAGAGTTGTTGCACAAAGTTATCTTGGGGAAGACAACATGTCTTTTTTTTAAACCTAAAATAAATGAGGTCTTGTGTAGTGAACCGTTTAAATTTTTTGGCTCTAGCTTGTATTATTCTGTAATTTTCAGTTGGCCTTCTAGTGATCACTGTGAATTAATGGGATATGACTCTGTCATGTGAGCTTTCCAAAAAAATGATGGAGTTACATTAAATTTATTTTACTATGAATTCCATGTATGTTCTCCCAGAAAAATTCCTGGACACAAATAATTTTAAAAACAACAAAACTGGCTTGTCTTTCAGGCTGAAAATTATTTTCCAAACACTTAAATTCATAATTAAAAAGTGGGTTTTCTTTCATCCTAATATAAGGAGCCAAGAAAATGAATACTTTGCATTAAAATTTTGGCAGTTTTTATACAGTTATTTCTTAGTCCAAATCAAATTTAAATGCTAAATGATTTACATTGAAATTGTTTTATGTTTCTTAGCTTGAAGGTTTAAGATGATTTGAACGAAAACAACATATCCAATATCCCAAAGTGACTTTGCATTAAGAACTGGTTGCTAAATAAATTATATATTTAATTTGAAATTTTTTAAAACTTTTTTTTTAATGAAAGGAGTGTTCTGTGTTGGAAGGAGCTGCTGCTATATAAGGCAGTAAAAGAAGTGGATCCTATAGCAAAGCAAAAGTACTATTGACTCTTAAGGAAAGAGAATGAAGGTCAAATTATATAAAGAAATAAGGGGAGATTTTAGACATCTGAAAGAAAAACTTATTTCTGAATGCATTGTAGTGCTAGAGAGAGATCCTAAGGGTGTTTGAACATTACAAACTTTAGGAACTGGGAGACGTGCAAGGACATTGTGAGCATTTAAAAAAAAAAACATATCCAGTTAAATTAAAAGATTGAATTACATATTACTTAATAGAATGCAAGGAACCAAAAAGAAAAGTTTTTTTGGAAGTACTTTTTGCCTTGTTCATAGGTCTGATGTGAAGAGTGCAGACTTTTCTTTTTAATTTTTTTTATTATTTTACAAACAGCTGAACGGCAACTCATTTTGAAATTTAAAGGGCTTTTTTAAAATGTATAGTTACCAAATAGATTTTAGATTTGTTGATGTGAATGATCTTATCAGTACTTACAGGAAATATAAATTCTGTCGGCAAAGAAAACCTGGAGAATGTTGAATAATATCTAAAATAATATGGTAGAATGAGTGTTAATTTCAAATCCTTTACATGATGAAAAAAAAAAAGAAAAAAGTGAAGGTAAACTGCTGTTTAACAGCTTCCCACTGTTATATAAACTTTCAAACAACCATGAAATGTAGGTCTCTGGACATCACTTAAAAGAACCACAAATAAACAGAGGGTCGTACCACACTTCTGTTCCCTAATGTGTAACTAAAAGGTTTAGCTAAGAACAGAAAGTGTCTAAAACTCCTTTTTGTTTACCTACTGCCTTGTGTACCATAAACACAAATAAGCAAAGCAGGGCTAGAGAGGGGAGGTAGGATACTGCCTGCCTGTGAATAAGGCACAGAGGAGGTAAAAAGCCTGTTAATGTCTCTGGAGTGTCGTCTTACCTTTGTGCATGCAGCAGGCTGGGACATTTATGTAGCAAAGAATCACCTACTTAAAATATAAGGATGCTGCACTTAACACTCCCGTACCAGAACATCTCTGGGGACATGTATATCTTTCATGGAAATTTGCTGAAGTGTAACTGTTTAGCAATTACTTGGGACTTAGAATAATGGTGTCCTTTTAATAGAGCAAAACACAAGTAGAGCTTTTGTATCTAATGTACCTCCAGCCTCCAAGGCTGTATCCACTTCAGACTTGCTGTGATCAGGGCCAGAAATTTGTAGTGGTCCTAAATCATACAAAATTCCTGTGAAATTGAGGGTAGCCCTGTAAAAGCTGGAATTTCCTCCTGTGAGGAAGTGTTGGTACCTCTGTTGTAACTAGTGCTGCATATGCCGAGCTGGGGAGAAGGGTCTGCTCCTGGGGAGAAACCCAGCTCTGGGTGATGGCACAAACCCACTACCAGAAAAAAATTATCATCTCTTTCCAGCACTGCTGTAAGCTAAGAGTTATGCAAATTATCCAGAAGTATACCTGGGTGGAAGAGTTTCTTTTCTCCAGAGATAATACTTGCAATACTCTTATCCTTTGACACCAAAACAGTTTAAGTAAAACAATGCAAATAAAACCTGGAAAGGTAATTTTCTTTGAGTTTTGCTCCAAAACTGTCCAACCTTTTCCATATCCCTCATAAAAAAAAACCATATTCTCTCCTTTGGGGATTTCATTTTTGCTTTTGTTTTAGAAAATAAAATTTTTAGGCCAGCACAGTGATGAGTGACAGCATAAAAATACATAAAAATACATGCCCACTGAATGTAGCATGTTTAGGACAAAAGTGGGGCCTCTAGTTCAGACAGAGTAATTAATATCTATTGGGGTATAGGCTTCCTTGAAGTATTCATTATGTGAAATCAGGTACTTACATGTGCAGCAATTAAGTTGATATATATGTGTGTATTATTTATTTATTTGTGTAATGTGTGTGTGATAAATTACCAGTACGTGGTCATACTTTGAAACCTGTTCCTAATCTCAGTGCTGGTCATGTAACCCAAGAAGAAATGAAGACATAGGCTCGAGTGATGATGGTTATACAACACCCCAACAAGAGCAAGATATAGCACAAATGTCATTACAGCCCAGGGCTGCACACAAAATGTTGGGACCTCTCGCGGGTTTAATTTCGGGTGGTAAAAAAAATGTGCGCGTATGTGTGTGTGTGTGTAGGAAGGGGGAGTCAAAGGATCCATATGCTCCCTTTGTTCCCATTTACAGGAACATTTCATGGCAGGAGCTCACTGGTGGCATTTCCAGAGCAATGTGGTAGGTGGGAAACTATGCAAAGGGTTACAAGCTGTAGAATGAAGTCAACAGCCTGTAAGTGACCCAATAATAATGCAATTTGCAGAAGGAGTATGTACAGGAACAGAAAGGAAAAAATATATTCCCCATCTGGGCAGTTATTGAACATTTTTGACTGTGGAACACGCAAAGTGGGGTGGAGTAGAGATTTTCCTGGCTTGCCTTCCACATCAATCAGTTTGTTGGGAATTGTGCACAGCAAACACAGTTGTGCCACTCTGAAAAAGACAATGGATCAGAGAAACAGCAACAACATTTTTCCAAAATGACTGGTGGTTCTAGGGTCTCATTGGACATACTTTGAAGCTGTCACACTTTCAGGAAGCGTTGAAGCCCTATTCTCTGAAACTCAGGCCCTCTCAGTCAACTGGGGGCAAAACACATTGTGTTTAGGAAGGCTTTGAGTGAGGGACATGAAAATCTTCATCTGAGATAATTGTGTTCAGGGGATTTCTGTCACTGCAGTAAACAACTGTGAGAATTCAAATCCGCTGTTCTTATTATTGATGTAAGTGATTTTCAATCAAAACAGAGAAATAGCACATCATTACAAAAGAGCAAAAAATTTAAATTATAGATCCCCTCTACAAGTTAAAGGTCTTTCAAGGAATATACTGATTTCACACCTTTTCTGTAAGCTGTAATAACACACACAGACATTTTTTAGTAATGAATATGATTTTCAAATAATATATACAAGTTATGCAATATAGGAGATCTGCCCTTGAAGTGACTGTTTTGACTGTTGAATGGTATGTGAAAGGCTTAGGGCCTCACATGATACCTTTCACTTCTCAGATGCTCTACAAAGATTTTTGTGGCTTCTCAAGACTGTAATGGACTTCCACTTTTTTGAAACTCAAGCTTTTTTTTTTCTGATCAAAAACTTAAAAAGAGAAAAGCAAACGAAAAAAAACCCCACCAAACTCAAAAACTGCTGTTAAAATATTCATGTCTAATTTAGAAGACCATATTAGCCTAGGGTTAGCACTGGGGGTTGCTGAATTTTCACTTGAAATTTTTTTCAAGAAAAAGTCAATTTTGTCAACATTTTTTAATTGGTAAAAAAGAAGCCAGGAGAAAAAGAAATTATTTAAATATCAAGGTTTCTTTTCAGAGCTTGTCAGCTTTTGTTTTTTCTTCCTTTTTTTTAGAAACTGAAAGCAGTCAAACGCCACTGTTATGATCAACGAAAAACTGAGAAAAAGGGAGAAATAATTTATCTTTCAAAAATGTCACCAGTATATTTAATTATTACTGGAAGCTAAAGTCTCTGAGTACTTGAATATTTTTCTTTTCCTTTCTTTTCTTTTACATACTTTTGCGTGTGTGTGTCTGCATATCTGCCTTCACAAGGCTGTAAATTGTGATTAATCTCCCAGTCTATCACCAGGATTGAATTACACTTTGTACTGTGCTGCAAGACTAATTAATTTAATAGTCTTATGTAAGTGCAGTCTAGATGTGGTAGTTTTGAGCCTCCTCACACATTTTGAGACTCTGAGCTGAATCTGAAACTTTTTCGGTTCATGTTCTGGACAAGCCTGAGAACGTGCCAGCTCTGGCTGCTGTGGGCTGTGCATGCTCAGCTCTGCCAGACATTATTTGGGTTAGTCAAGCAGAAGGACAAGCACACGTTTCTTCCTCACTCATCCTCTCAATCCCATGTAAATGCCCCATTTCTAGGAGATCCTTTCTCCACTCTATTGCTATAACTAACTTAAATAGACTTTCCATCTTACTGTCTTCTCCTCACGGTCCAGACACCTTCAGTTCTTTGAGCTTTGAGAATGGTTGGGCCAGAAGCAGTAACAGCTCCTCTGGTCTGTTATATCACTGTAGTTGTTTTATATGCCAAACTTTAAAGGAGCTTAAAATAGCACAGTGACTTGTGAAAGGTTCTTCCTCATCAACACAAAGAAGTCACCAGAGAGGTAGAGGTAGGAACGAATTGAGCCCAGACTATATTTTACTGTGTTATTCCTATGCAAGCAATGAAAAGCCATAATATCGTAAGAGTAAAATTCTTTACTAAAGGAAGGAATAAAATTCCTCTTTCCATGCAAAAACGTGCACATGCACATCTGACCTTATTTTTTGTCACACAGATGTATATTTTCTCCATGTTCTGATATCTATTTCCAAAATGACAGAGCTGGTTTTGTACATATTCTGTTCTGTATTTTCTGGCATTGCTGTTGGCTCCCTGCCCATTGTGGATGTCTATTTGCCCTGCTGGTTTTGAGTGTGAATTTTTTTTTTTTTAACTATTATTATTATTATTATTATTATTATTATTATTATTATTATTATTATTATTATTATTTACGTACCATGAGCTTTTACTCAGCTAGAAATCCTGGCCTGGATTTTTCCACAGCCTTGAAACTCATGAAGCAAAGAGGACATTTATGAAGTGAAGACCAAAGCAGAGCTTCCAGACCAGACCAATGGATTTCTTCACCCTCTGTACATAGCTTGAAGCTCAAGACAATGAGGTGGATTCTGAAGGTATCCTAAGATGGCTTGGAAAGATTCCTAATTTCTCTGAATGCTGAATTAGCTCCCTTGCACTGTCATGGGACCACTGTCACCTAAAGCACTGGGATACCACTGCCTGGGTTATCGCAGCTGCATCAGTCAACAGCTTTACAATTTTGACATTTGGGAGAAACAGTTGTAAGATTTTAATGAGAGCAGACACTTACCTCCCCCAAGTAGCCAAATGGGCTAAAAATATCCCTTGTTTTGGTATTCCTAGGTTCCCTGAGGTTAGTGATATGTTTAATTTGCTGTCCATTTGAATACAGGAACTCCCTTGACAGATTCTTGACAGTGGAGAGTTTTGTTAACGGTAAAGTTTGAATCGAGTAACATTCTCACTCAATCCCCTTCTTTAGCTATCCTCAACAGTATATTGCTCACAATTTTTTCATAAAATGAGGGGCAACAAAGATTCCAAGATCTGACAGGTTCTCTGTTGTTCTTTATTTTTAAAATAGAACCATTTCCCAATATTATTTTCCTATTAATTTATTCTGCTTAAGGCAAAAAACCCCAAGAAAAACACCCCCCTCAAAACAAAACACCAACAAAACCTCACACCAAAACCCTACGAATTGAAGAATACTTGATAGCATTCATGAAGTTTTCTTTTTAAGGTCCTCTAATTCTCTTACATTCCTTTCTTACTGTTTATGGCTTCGTGCCCTTTGCTTAGTAAAATGTTCAGAAGCCTGTGATGAAAGACAATGGGCTGGCTGTGGGAATTATGGCAGAACACAGGCCTTCATTGCTTGTTCTATGTTAGGAGCTGTACTGTCAGCAGCCACACTGCTGAAGATGTAATTGTTTCTGAGACCAGCAGCTTCTGGAAGGTGAATGTAGGTCATTTGCACATCAACTTTTTTCTAGTACATCATATATTGAACATCTAGATGAAGAGTTACATGGAAAAGAAAAAGTACTATTTAAATTTATATTAAACCTGTTTCCCTTGCATGAGATGCATCTTACCTTTTATATGGAAAATGTCTACCTAAACATTCTTTTCTCATTCCTACCTGGCATGCTCCAGAGCCACATTTTCTACTAAAGGTCCAACTGATTGACCTTGTGAGTTAGTTAAAACATCCCTGTTTACTTTAGCAACATGAAAGCTTACTTTGTCAGTAGACTAAAGATCCAGGAAAGTGTCCTCAACATTGATCTACAGGTACAATTTCTTTTGCGAGGTTCAACAGCATAGAAGCTGGGTGGAGACCAGCCCTACCCAGGGGGAGACCCACCTACCTGAGAGGAAATGTGGACAACAGACAGAGCCCAGTCTTTTCAAGCTAAACAGGTCTATGATTCCATATGAGAGAGAAGAATTAGCACAGAGCAATGAAGATCTGGAGAGCAAAGGCCTGAGTAGTCCCTGAACTGAAAGCAAGGTTTGGCACTCTGACAAATCCTATCATGTCTGTACCAGGTGCTTTCATAGCACTGCCCTGTGCAGTGTGCATGCACTTCACAGGGGTTTCTGCACCCCATCCACAGCTCAGCAAGTGGATGGGGTGCAGAAAGCCCTAGAAAAGAGGATCTGCACATGGTATGGGAATTCCTGGAGATACCTCAAACAGTTGTGCAGCACTGAAGGATATTTGTGTAGAAGCCATATGATGTCTACAGGTCAACTATTTGCAGTCAGGAATTTACACACAAGGTTTTGGTATTCCCACTGTTACTTTTACCCCTTAGTCAGCTACAAAACATTCTGGAGTTTTAAGTGCTTTTAAAAACCCACATCTTTCTAAGTTTTTAAAGTGGAGTTTAGGTGGCGGGGGAAAACCTCTGCTGGATACTTCTCCTACTCTTTTCTTTCGCTTGGTAGGATTTCTGGGAAGAGGCATCCAGAAATACAGTGTTCCTGTGCTGAGGTATCTTAGTCATACAGGCTAAGTTTATACTACAGAGCAAACAGTCCAAGTGCCTGTTCTCCAACCATAGGGGCCAGCTGGCATTGTCATGACATTTAGATATTACAAAGTTTTCTTTATTTCCAAAATGTGGACTATTTCAATCTGCCTGTTCTGAGTGGTCATTCTCCCATATTAACTTCTGCACTGTGCCAGGGAATTGTTTGTGAAATGCTAGGTGATTTTAACAAAACCATGTCAGGAACCATTCTTACAGTTTAACCATGTAAGTAGCAGAGTTGTAGTGCCCAGAATATTCCCTGGCATACTCATAAAACAGGACTATCGTGTCCATAACTGGCAATAGGATGCCTTCTTGCTTGCAAGCCAGAAATTATTTCTGGCAGTTCAGTTCCTGTGTATTAGAATTACATTTGAGATAAAGACTAAAACAAGAAGGCAAATTACAGACTGTTTATCCCTCTTCAGTATTCACATATTTTGGGTAAGAAATTAGAGGCTGCCCTTTTGATTATTTGAGGTTTGATTTATGTTGTGAACTTATTTGATCTGCACTATTTCATTTTTTCATTTTGAAATAGACCCAAAGACCCTGACCCTCTTAAAAATAAAGAACATTAGCTTGTGGTATTGCTGTACAAAAAGTAAACAGCCTGTTTTATGAGGAAACTGTCTTTGGGATGCATAACTATCGCATGCCAAAGACTGAATGTGGGATGCAGTGTGTGACAAAGACACAAAATGAGGGACACACGAAAACTATTCATTCAGCATATTTAAAATGTGGTGGGATCCAATCCTGTAGTATAAATAAGTCTTGGTCTAACCTCAAAATAATGATTATTTATTTCTGATATAAATGGTTGTCAACAAAAAATTGTGGGATAACCACATTTGTGTGGAAAGCAGGAATATGAGTCTAAAATTAGATGCTGGAAAGGAATGTCTAAATATATTATATATATATATATATATATATATATATATATAATACCTATTTAGTTCTTGTTGTTCATGAAAGTCTTAGTTTAGCAGTAGCAACTGCTTCTTTTACTTACTATATCACATATTTTCATTGACTCCTCACTAATATAAACTGAATGTCAATTTGAAATCAACCTATCAAAGAGGAAATGTGAGGCCATTCTGATTTCCACCTGTTGAGAGCTTGGACTTTCTTTCTTTCTTTTTTTAAAATTTATTTTCTCTTTTTTTCTGTCTTTATTTTTTTCTCTCCTTTTCATTTTAATACAAGACAGCACTTTTTAATTCCCAGCAGCAAAATGCAAATAAACACTGGTAAACTAGTTATTTTATACTAGTTATTTTATACAAAGATTGTTTAAGTGTTATTCATTGTTATGAATGCTACTGTACCTAGTCACTTGTCTAAAGGAAGTCAATCAACTGGAAGACTTATTTATGTGCCTGAAACCTTGATTTGAGCTTGTAAGGAAGTGCTAATGCAGCCTCTGTTGTGAGATAAGAGTGAAAGTGTGGTTAGTCATGTAGCTAACAAGCAATTTCTGTTACTGTTTTTACTAAATTTATGGATTAAAATCCATTAGATGTGATAGTAATGACCCGCTTCTAATCCAGACAGATTTTATAGTTGTTAGCACCTCTGACTTTAGTGAAACAATTCCAGGATCAATCTGATGCAAATGAGAAGAAAATCAGGCTGCAAATGCTGCAGTTCTAATGAAACCCTTTTCCCTGATCCTGTCTCTGACCTCCCATACTTTATCTTCCAAGGATCAGCTTTGTGGTGTTAATTATGGGGTAAGTAAGCAGTTACTTCCTAGAGCAAATCAGCAAAAGTCCAGGTTTGCTCTAGAGGTCCCAAAGATCAGAGCTCTGTGTTTCTTCAGGTTTCAATTTACCAGGCTCAAAACACTTAAAAGTACAAGGAGGAGAGGCTGGGGAGTGATCGGTTTACAAGTGACCTGGGAGTTCACAGTCTCCATCCCATGAAATTACAGCCCATATAATAGGTCTTGTGCAGACAAAACTGCAACAAATTAACTCAAGCATCTTTTCTGGGAGGAGAAAAACACCTCTGCTTTATCAGCAATTCCCAGCTTGCCCTTCACTGCAGCCCCATACTCTTTCTTTCCAGGAGAAATGTTTTGGACATGACACACACTTTGCTATTCTGCCAAGAAGGTGAACAGCATTTACCAGAGTGCCCTGGTTTGGGTCAAAACTCAAACCCCAGCCCTTCAAGAAGTGACGAGCACCAAGGACTTGTCTTACGTGTGTAGTTACACCAAACCTCATCACTCTCCATCTGTTACCACTCATCTGAGTTACCACCAAGTTTTCATGGTCAGAAAATTCTTCTGTGACTAGTATGAATTTAATGACATGGTGTTTGAAAGACTTAGTGTAGGGTGAGCGGTGTTTTGTCATCACACATCATTCAGTGCGCTTGATGCCATCTTATAGGTGGGTCTGGGAATGTATACGTGTCCGCATTCTGTTAACCTATACCAAAACCATGAGTGTAATGACTGAACATGCCTAGAGGAAATTCACAGAGACAGGTCAGAAGCATTGGTTTATTAAAAAAGGAATGTACTTAAAAATGAAAGTGTTATCTGCAAAAGTGGCAGGACTTTTGTTAAGATTTTCAGAAGACATTTTGTCAAGTCATGTTCATTTTTTGCTACCCCACGTTTATTTTTGCAGATGTCAAGTCTGAAATATATTTTATGATTTTACTGTGAGATCTGCCAACTTTGCAAAACCAGGCAGTTTTAATTCTGGGATTGAAAATTTACTGTTAGTTCCAGCACTGAATCCCATTACTTCTTTTCAATAAACTTGTATTTGTAGCTAGGGTGTGCTGCAGCAATCCTGAAGTTAGACTGCAAGCCAAGATTCAAGGAGGTTAATTTCGTCTCTCCAAGAAAAGTACATTCAGAGGTGTATATAATCTGTAACAAGGAATTTAAACAAAGACCCTGGAGATTAAAGCATGTTGCCATCTCTGAGATTAGCAGTTGTTTCTAAGCCCTCACCTACTTGTACAATATCCTTGGCAGGGTTCCAGAGGATAACTTCTCTCCATATAAAAATACTATATAAATAACATTAGGAATATGTTTTGGTGGGGCTTTATGCTGCTGATGAAATATTGTCTGGTGTTTCTATGTGTTTGGGGAGCAAAATTGAAAATAATTCTATTTAGAAAAAACATTAAGGCCCAAAAGGACTCAGAAGAACCTAATTGTTCCGTTTCTCTGTAGGTACACCAGTCTGTAGAAGCAGTGAGGTGAGCAAAAGGCAGAGTTGCACAAAAGAGAAATAAGTTGCCCTTTTATGCAGGTGTTGAGAACCAGAAATATCTTGGAAATATTGACCACAACTGCGTAGATGCAGTGAATGTGCTTATCTCAAATCAATCAATTATTACAATTAGATGATATTTTGCACTCCTGACATTTGAGCAGAGATGTTTGACAGTCAGTTTTATAGGTTTTGTGACTTCTTAATCTGTACATGTAGACACTAAATGCTCTCAAAAGTCCCAAAGCTGCTGGAGGAGAGGTTAAGGTTGTACTTTGGCATGTAAAACAGCCATCTGCTTCTGTAGAGGCAGCCTTTGTCTGCCTATAGGAGAAATTTAGAGGTGGGCTAGGGGGGAGAAAATTTGTAATGAAACCAGAACAAGATATCTCTGACATTATAGTCATGCTGTGCCTGAGCTAATTGGGGATGGGGCATGGATGACAGAGCTCTTTTTTGGATAGAGAGGAAGATCAAGGTTGCTTGGGAAATAAGACTAGTGGACGATGCACCTGATATGTTGCAAACAAATGGAACAGTCGGAAGACTTTACAGAAGATTATATTCTCACTCAGCAATACTCGCAACACAGGCTTAAATCCATGTCCTGGTGGATACTGTATGAGACCTGGTTAGCAGACAATGGTGAACAGTCCTCCTGCCAGCTGAGGCACGGCCCTGCAGGACTCCCTCATGCTCCTTGGTGCCTTGAGAGGACATTTCTGCAAACTCTGGCTTGTGCCCAGATGTTGGGAAAAACTTAGAGATACTTCCTCAAACTTCCCTTGATCATTTCAGCCTGAAGAATAGACCTGAACATTGTATGCTAGCTCACCTTGGACCTTAGGAACCCAAAGGACTTAAACCCCTGCCATTGAGGGAATTGCAACCTTGTTTTAGGGCTGTAAATTTTTGCAGTGTCTGTAAGTTAGAGTTCAGATCCAGAATGCTGACCTGAGCTTGACATGCAATATAAATGTATCCTATGATGGGTTTATAACATCCTGAAGTCTGTTGTGGTTGTGGATCCAGACTGCAGACTTTTTAGTTGTATCCTAAGGTTTCATTTTTACCAGCAAATTAAACAGGGCACAGGCACAGACACTTAAAACTCCATTATCTGTATTGTTAAATGGTGCCTTGCCTGATTTTGACTCGAGATAACTAGCACTCTCCCTGATGATTCCCAGGTGTGGTTTGAGGATAATGTATGGGATAAAAATATTCCCATGTTGAGTCTGAGTGTGGCCACCTTATTTTGGAGGTAAAGACAGATAACCATATCATGCTAAGTTAACTTTGGGGTCACACTGTCATTTATTTTACAGTATAGATTCTCTCAGTGGCTCTGAGAGGAACCCATTCCTACATGGCCTGGACCCCAAGCTGGAGGAGAGGCTGTTGTGTTGCTTGGGAGAAGATAGAAAGCCTCTCTGTGGGGAGGGTGCAAGGAGTGTTTCCACACATGCATGCCATAAGGCAGGCTTTACACTGGAAAAACAGAGCAGCAATATGGTGAGGCTGTTTGCATGGAAAAGTCTAGAGTGAATTACTGCCTACTAGCTTCTCAAGGCAAATTCTCTGAGGCATCGCCAGACGCTGATTGCAAGGGTAGGTGTGTATTAACTCTATTTTCTAATCAGTTGCAGAGCACATACCCTTGATGGTACACTTTTCCTGGTAAAACCTTGAAAAGACTGAGCTGTGGTCTCTGCTTCAGAAACAAAAAACTCCAAGGGACATGAAGATATAAAAAGTTAATGAAAGTGAATCAATACCTCATGATCTATTAAAAATACCATATTTCTGCCTAATGTGGCCTGCAGTTATTATCACAGTTTTGGATCCCCTGTCTGTCACTACTAGAAACTCATTTCTCTCAAACCATTAAAATAAAAAAGAACAAAAGCAATCTCCTTCGGAGAAATTATTATAATTAAAAAAACAGACAGAGAATAAAGTTTTCTGCTACTGGTGCTGTTCCTTCTCTAGCACCTCTAATTCTGTGCAAGAGCCTGACTCTAAACCAGGACAGAAAATCTACTAAAATCTGAATATATGATTAGGCTGAGAGAAAGAATTTGGATGTACTGATACTTCAAAGAGAAGCTCACTTTTTTCAAAATGCTTCCATGGCTTCAATTTTCATAATTTTTAACAGACCACTGCTATAATTATTTACGCAATCAGTCTGACAAATTTTTTATCTGCTTTAGACTTCTTCTTCACTTGTTGTTGCTTACAGTTTAATCATGAGAATTCTTTGTCGCAAACATGCAGAAAACAAAGTGAAAGGATCTTCTGTAAAATGTTCTTTCTTCAGTTTAGCAATATTACTTTTTCTTTACATTATATGAACATTCTCATTTGGCCGTGGAAAAAAGTCTTCTATATCTTTATTTTGACATGCAAACATTTAAAATAAAAATGTTTCAAGGCAGCTGTCAGATACTTAATAAAAATATTAGTTCAGGTTACACATATTTAGAGCACTGAAAACACGGGATATGAGAACTGAATTGAGAAAGAACGTTTTAATTGTAAACTAGTGGTATAGAAATTTTAAACAATAGTAATGAGACCCAGGATATAGACATCTTGAATTCTGCAACCCCTATTAAGCAAAGTACAGCCAGACCCAACAGTTAAAAATATGTAACCACACAAGTTCCCCATTTGCCCTCTTTTATTTGCCCTGTGTTTTCAATTTGTAATGACAATTTTGTATCAGAACAATAAACCAAGAGGATCATCTTTCTTTTGCCAGCTGTGACCCAAATGACTAGATTTGACTGTCCCACGAATGGAAACTGACAAATGAGACTTCAAAAGACTTCCCATTGCCAAGTTTAACAAAATTCTGCTATCTTTTAACCAAATATTTATGTATTACATGACTGTGCTTTATTATATTTATGTATTACATGGCTGTGTCCTATTAAATTTAAGTTTCCTCTGATCAGCGATACTCTCTTTCAGTGTCATTTGTAATATTTGGTTTCAATTAATATACATGGGACTGAAAGAAATGCACAAAAGCTTGTTTATTTTCCAGCAGTTGATGGTAACTGATTAAATCATTGCACATGGCATGGTCTCCATCCCCTGTTTGCTGTACAAGGCAGCTGGCAAGCCGCACCTGTCAGCCTAGGAGAGAATCTCATAAAGCTGCCAGTAAAACAGTGTAGCTGAATACACATCTGCTATTAAATTCTTTTCATCATATCCTAATCAAACAGCATATGTAGTTTATGGCCTTGCTAATAAAGGGTTTGAAATATCTGCCTGTGAACTTGATTTTATCAATGTCAGCCAGCATGACCAGTTTTTATTTACTCCGCTGCTCAGTAGAAAGGGGTGTGGTGAAACAGCCGATGCACAGGAAAAGGGGAATGAACATAGGTTGTTATCATAAACAATGGGTAAATGCAGCCTTTTAAAATTCTCTTTCTCCATTAATGGGACTGCTTTACTGTCTGCTTTGCCAGTCTTCTGTTCCTGACTCCAGCTGCCATGTTTGGATACTTCCCCAGTGGTTCACATGGGCAGTATTCTAATAGTGTCTACTGTAATATAAAAAATGTGAGTGACCACTTGAATTTAAAGGTGGCCATGTCCAGCTGTCTGTTTTGGTGATTGCAGCTTAAACTATCAGACAAATAATGATTTAAACTTTCCAGCTAGTATGTAAGAACCAGGATGTTAGCATGGTGTATTGGCTTGTGGTACTGTCTTGAAGATATTGAACAACAATGTCTTTTCACAGGACTATCCATTGATAGTAATCAAGAGTGGCTGTGACTAAAATAGTTATATTTAAAGTTGAAATGAGCATTTGTGAGACAGATTTTGCCATTCAGATTGGAACAGGCCTCATCCAATGTGGCTTGACTGACTGATTTTCCTACTGGAGCAGTGCTTTTTTCCCTACATAAGCCATAGCTGTTTTAATGTGTCAGCTCAGTTTGCCGCCTAACATATTCTTCCTCCTTAGTGTTG